TATATATATATATATATATATTTTTTTTTTTTTGAGTTTCGAGCGAATCTTGTATTATGATTCTGCACAGAATGTCATGAGAGTCATGAGACTGATCCATTGCACGCATTGAGTTTGGTATATGCTCTCACTAGCTATTACTTCGGAAGCATCTAAAAGACATCTTAAGTAAACGGATACGTAAAAAAAACCAATACGAAACCATCAAGGCCTTGGAATCTTTAGTTTTTGTATGTTTTGCTTAAGTAGACATGATGTCATGGAAACACATGATAGCATTCTAGTGATTTGTTATAGGGTTGATTAGGTAGATTGAGTAAAACATTGTTTAGAATTGGTAAATAAAACACGAATGGTAAAACTTTAAATAAGGTTAATTTTTTTTTTGTTATCATGTAAACATGGTGTATCATATATAAATAAGAGTGTGTTATCTAAATATAATGTATAAAATAAAAATAGTATAATAATGAGAAAATTACACATACATAACTTTTAAGAGAAAAAAGTTTTCATTTAGTTTATGTAATTAGTTTTAAGCTAAGATATATTATTTCTATTATATTGCTTGACGTTATGATATATTTGCATTTTGGTTGGTGTAACTAGGACTTAGCTATATAAAAAGACTTTTAAGCCAATACATTATCTATGAGCTTAATGTTATAAATTCTTTCAGTTTCATATTTAATTCTCAAGATGGACCAACAGCCAAAGAAGACAATACTGGAACATTGGGGAACATGTTGCAAACATGTACTAGAATGAGACTACTATTTAGTAAACTATAATTTGATAAACTCATATCCATATAATAAATATCAAGGTAGCATCATGATGTTATCATAAAGAGCTTTGTAACAACTATAAATTGGGATTCTTGTGGAAAATGAAATTTTTAGAACAAATTTTAAGAATGTGTCATTTTTGCTAAAATCTTATGAATTTGCTATTTTTAAAATTTTAATTAAAAATATCTTTTGATTTTCTTTTGCTAAAAACATACTTAATAAACGCATGGTTATTCACATTTTATAATCTGAAAATGACAAATCCATAAGATTTTACAAAAAGAATAGAAAACCAAAAATTTGGTCACAAAAATGGCAAACTCATAAAACTCTCTATAACTTTTCTTTGAACTTAAATTATTTAATTTTGATTTTTTTTTGGTATATGTTGTTCACTAATAAATCGGTTGAAATCGAGTAAGAGATATAAATATTATTATTATTTAAAAACATTACTGATAAAATAATAACGTTATCAAGAAAACATTTTTTTATTCCTTTTCAAAAGTAATTACTGCTGGTTGTTAAATATGATTATTATTAGTCCTATCTATATATATATATATATATATATATATATATATATAGGGTTAGTTGTTAACTTGTTATATACTTAAAAGCCATTCAACCATATACTATTTTTTATCCATTCTATATGTTTTCGTTCTTATTATTTGTACCATTTATTATGCTGACCTAAATCAAACGAACTTTGCACATGCATGGTCTACAGATAAATAATTTTTAGGTTTCTGTAAAATTTATATTAAGTATATAGTTGAATATATCTACGAAGTGTTACTGAAAAAATCGTCTGTTAAAGGCTACAATATACTATTAGACATATTGAACAAAAATAAGATTCAATTCGTTAAATAGGAATCATATGCTTCAACTTAAAGTTATACATTTTTTTGGTGGGATATACTTGTAGGGTTTATGATCGTGTCGAGAAGATCAGTGAATTGTCTCTTCTGGTAACTGAATCAGTTGATTTTTATGGTTAGTCTATCAATCAGAGACACTTGAGAGAGAACCACAAAAGATGATTGAACAATAAGATCTGAAAATTTTCCACTATTCTCTTTCTTTCTTGATTGTTCTTTTTTCTTTCTTTCTTTACTGTTTTTATATAAATGGGAAATACAAAAAAAGTAACACAAGAGGGAGGAGTAGGTCAAATATTCATCTGAGTGGTTATCATATCGACCTAGACTTTAGATTAGACCCAACACTTTTTCAGTCGGGCTACTTCCAACTCCAAGGTCAACATTTTCACACCATCTCTGTCTCCTCTTTTATTTCGAAAACGATAATTCATACTACTACGTTTTAAATCAATGAAAGAGAAACCAAATTGACACTAACGATAAATTATTGCATTTTTTTCTCAAGTTAGTTTGGTCCATACACACAATACATGATACAATGAAGAAGTTTTCTTGTAACTTGAAAGAACGAAATTAAAGTAACGAGGCAAAAAGAAAAAAGAAAAAATACTAATAATATGAGTGGAAGAAGAAGAGGACACGATGGTCAGAGCTTGTAACGAACGCCATATTGAAGTGGTGGAGCAAGTTTTACAGAAATTTATGAAACGCGTAAAGATGTGTTTGTGTAATGATGTGATTCACTTCACCACAAAAGCATCTCTCTTCAACTCTCCCTATCTCACACACAACCCAAAAACCAAACTGTCATAAAAACTCTTTGTTGAATATTCATATCTTACATTTATTATCGACCTAATTGTTACAAACTTAGTCCCAAGTATATCTATCCTATAATAGTAGTAGTAGTAGCGTGAGAAAAATATAGTTTTGAGAAAGACCATCTTCTCGGTCTTTTAACTTTGACCGGTTCGGGTTGTTCAGTTCTAAGTACACGTAAGACGTAAAGCAGAGGGCTCTTGTCTCGTGGCTCTACTCGTGTCTCTGCGAGCTTTCTTGCACTTTTCTTTTGAGAGCATGTGTTTAGAAGACCACGTGGTCTTTGTTAAAGGGTCATTCTATTTTTTTTACTTTGTTGTGTTTTTCTCTGAATGAGGAAATTTTTAGTATCCAATATTGGGACGTAGGCTAAAGCTAAGATTGAGTTAAGTAAAAAACATTTTATGGAAACATACATTTTTAGGGAGATAAATAATTTTGTTACTATTCAACTTTAACAAATTACCTAGCCTGTCATTTGTTCACAATTTGTAATGATATAAATATATTAATTATTAAAGCTTAATCTTTCCATAGTAAATAGCTTTGAAAAGGTAAATTTACGTAACTAATTTTAAATTAGAATTATGAGTTATGTTTGTTAAAACAAAATTGAAATTGAAGGAAATAAAAATCAAAGATTAAAATATGTAGACAGTAAAAAGTACATATTTTGTTAAGAAATTTGTAGAAGTCTTATTTTAATTAAACTATAGAGGTAATATATTTATATTAAAAAAGTGCATGAAAATTTCAAAAAATGTATAGAAAAAAGTAATAAAAAGGTCAAAATGTCAATCTTTTAAAATCGACAAATAATTAGGATGAATTAAAAATTTATTAATTTCTTTTGTTTCAAATATAATTATTTTAGCAAATTAGACACATTATCAAACCATAAAGTACTTATATCGTCTCATGTTCTCTGTTTTTACACCCATTAATTGGGTAAAACATTTTTTTACTCTATTTGTTTTGTTTTTTTTCGTTTGAAGAAAGAAGAAATTACGATTATATGAACTTTGTAATGTTTTTGTGTCCGGACTTTAGTTAGATGACTTTGGTCGGTTGTTGTGGTGGGATCCAAAAACACTCACTTGCAAGATTTGTCTTAATAAAACCTTAAATAAAATACTATGTCACTCGTTTTGGTCGTTTGCTAACGCTTGTTGTATTAAATCCAAAAACAAAATAAATTCTAAGTCAAGAAAGGAATGCATTCACAAATTTAACAAAATACTAAACTATTCAGTTGACTTAGCACTTTGATTTTTGTAGTTCACACAGCCAAAAATATTCATAAAACTGATTAACATATATGAAAACATTTATATAACAAAAAAAGACATTCTACGTGCTGGCCATTATTGCCGTCCAAAATCTGAAACTTTCAAGTGGAGTAAACATTGTGTAAATTATGCTTTAATTCCGAATTTTAATTTTGTTCTTGAGGACGTTGTAGTAGGTGACAAAATAAATTTGAAACATCGATTCAAAAGATCAGAATTAGATTATGTGAAATAAAGAGAATCTGAAAAAGGTAAAAAAACCATCAGATAGGTCAGGATGATGAATTAGTACTGTCAGATTTCATGTTTATATATTTTCTTGGAAACTGAGCTTAGCAGAAATAAAAGTTGTGAAAAATGAGGAAAAATAATGGACACAGTGACTGTGTCAAGTCACTTCCATATGCGAAAGTGATAATATATATACATATCTTTTCCATTAATTTAAAGTTCTAACTTTTATTTATTTATTAACATTTTCTCCACAGTAGGAAAATTGCAATCTGAAAAGTTCACTTTAGTTTGATGGGTTCATTTAATTTTTTGAGTTTTTCATATAGTTTGATTGTTAATTAATCTTAGTTTTTTTTCTACTACTACTCACCTTCCTAGGCTCCTAACCTAATAGTAAGTGATATGTTCAATACAACACAGTAAATCTTTTTTTGATAGGTGTTTCAGTAATTGGCAAATTACCAAACAGCTGCGTAAAATAATAAACTGGATTAAATAACTTCAGCTATCTTTTTTTATTTATAATTATAGATACATTCATTTGAAACAATTACTCCTTGTTGTAAATTCTTAAAAAAATATTCTGCATAAATAAATTCATTAATGTTTGTATTGTTTCCATACAGTATATGATTATGGTACAAAATACAATGGCTATGGTTAAGCAAAAAATACAGTATCATTACGTTTATAACATTTACATTAAGAACGATTGGTTTATAGGTGAACGTATTTTACTGTTCTTGTTCTCGAATCATTCGTTAATTACCTAACAACAGCATCATCTAAAAAGATCAAATCAACATTTTTGTGAGTTTTAAGAAACTGTTACTAGATATGTTACTAGATAATAGTATTATTTTTCTCAAAATATGAGGTGTGTGTGATGACAAACGAAGACGACAGAGATATGTAATAAATATATATATATATTTACCATATATATTGTTTTGTTAAATTCTCACAATGTGTCAGGATTCACATAATGATACATCACTATACAAAAGGCTTCACTAATCTGAGACACTGCTACAAGATTTATCTGTTTTTGTCATCATCATCTTCATTTTTTTTAAACTATTTTTACAAAATAACACCAAACTCCTGCGATCTAATCTAACTTCATAAGTATATTTAACAAAAAAAAATTAAACCCTAATCGCAAATCTTCTCCCTCTGTTCCTTAATCGAACTCAAGCTATCCATTGATTTTTCCGACATTGAATCACTTGCAATTCTTGAAAACAAATACGAATCTGCAAAACAAACAAAAATTGTAATTAGCATTTCTATTTCTACATAATCACACTTAACATTGTAATAAAATCATCCAAAAATAAGAACAAAATTAATTTACCTTCAGACGATGAAGTACTAAGCTTCTCTTGTGAAGAAGATTCACTAGTAGATCGTGATAACAAAGAAGATTCTGAAATAAATAAAAAACAAATTAAAACCCATTAATTATTTTTTCTTAATTAATAATTATGAAACTTATCAAAAAAAAAAAAAAGACTCTGTTTTTTTTTTAACATACCTCTAGAGCCATGAAATGATTTCTTGCAATGAAGAATCGCACTTTGAATCCCATCTTGTTGAACTTGGAAAGACTCATCGATGACTCTGTTCACCGGAGACATCACTCCGACTGCCGCAGACGCTGACCGGCTCTTCCCAAGTTGTCTCTTCACGTTTCTTATCCCTGCCGGAAGATTCCTCCTCTGTTTCTCCCTCGTCGCCGGTGAAGACGTCGGAGATGAAATCGAAGAAGACACTCCGCTACCACTGCTCTGTTTCTTAGCTGTTTTAGTGTATAAAGGCTTTATGAGACTGAAGAATCTCTTCGAAGAAGAAGAAGACGACGAGGAGGAGGAAGAAACAGGGGAAACAGAGCAGTCGAACACCGTGTCGTCTGTTTGTTGTAATCTCGCAATGCTCGTCGTTTTTCTGAAACTTGTCGTCGTTTCGTCGTCGGTTCTGAACCTGACGTTGATGCTTCTGTTGTTTTCTTCTTTAATCTTCTCCGTCGTCGTTGTTGACTTCTCAGAGTCGACTGATTTTGACTTCTTGAAGGAGAAAGCTCGAAACTTTTGGCCGGATTTAAGGTTAGTGATCGGAGATTGTTGTGGTTTTGTGGTGATCTCGACGAAAGGGAGGATTTTGCTTTTGTTAGAAACAGAGAACGTCGTGGTGGTTTCGAGTCTCTGTTTTTGTTCTTTCTCTGTTTTGAAATCAGAGAGAGAGATCTCGAGCTCGAAGAAGGAGTCGTCTCCTTCGCCACAGAGGTCAAGTTCGTGACTTTCTGATGCGGTGGTGGAACTGGAATCGACGGCGGATTCTGAGATTCTGGTTTCGCGGCGGGGTTTGATGGTTGTGTTGTTGTTGGTTAACCAGAACTTCATAAAGCCAAGAGCTTCCATTGAGAGAGAGAGAGAGAGATTAGAGTTGAAAGAGAGAGAGAGAGAAAGAGAGAGTAAAGAGTTTGGCTTTGTCAACGAATTTGGAGAAGTGAGGATTTATATAGAAAGGAAGAAGAAGAAAGAGAAGAGAAGTCTGAGCTTTTTCGAAATTGCGTTTTAATCTTTTTTTTATTTTATTTTTATTTTTTAGTGTTTTGTAAAGGAAGAAGAAAAGAGAAATGAAAAATGGCATTTTTGAGAGAGAGAGATAGAGAGATATAAAGGGAAAAAAGGAAAAAATACAAAAGTAATTTTTTTATATTTTTGGTTTTGAAGCTTTTTTTGTTCTTTGCTTCTTTTTTTTTTCTTTTTCTTTTTCTTTTACACTTTGCTCTTTTTTTTGTTGTTGCACAGGTTAAACAATTTGTTCTATCTATTGTCTTCATTTATTTAGCCTTCTATGCCATAACACACATATGGTAGTAGCTTTTTCTTTAAACTAAAGTGCTTTTGAGATTTTTTTTTTCTTTTGTTGTAAAATAGGCTATTTACATTTTTAAAAAAACATGTTTTTTCTATCTAAAAATTAACTCTTTTTCATATGATAAAACATTTAGCATTAACTCTTTTTCATGTGATAAAACATTTAGCATTTAGATTAAAATAAAGACCTACGTTCGTCTTGCACCTCAGCACCTTCCGTACTCAACCGGAAGTGAAAGCTAACGAGTGACTCGTGGTTTTTGGCCTCAACATGATTCTCTTCCTCACCTTCAAAACATGTTTTAGAGTCCTCTCAAACCTTAAGAAACTGTTCAAGCCTAAAGCCTTTGCTTATTCACATTATAGATTAGGCTGGCACATTCTTTCTCTTTGTGGTCTACTTACCTCTACACCCTAATTTTCTTGCCACACTTGTAATTTTTAGCCTGGTATGGACAAATTCATTAAAAAAAACACGCTTGCCTACACATGTAATAGGGCTAACCGAATTGCTAACCAAAATTACAATTTGGGTTATGTGACCAGGCGAAGTTTTTGAAAATACCATATATGGTTGATACATTTTTGTAGGATTGAAGGGTATGGTTTTATACCCAACTTAAATAATTTGATCCTTACGTGAGAAAAAAGTATAAATTTTCAACTAAATTTTTTAGAATCTTAATAAATGTACATTAATATTACCTTATCAACAATAACACCAACTCTATGGAATAAAAAAAAAAGCAAAACTGAAAAGAAAAACTCCCCTAATCTTTTTAAACGGTTGTAAAAAAACCTCAAATAGACTCTTACTCATATATACCTAATAAACTCAATTATTATACATGATTAATTTAATTTAAGGAAGGTCCTTTTGTTAAGATGAAGATTAACAAAAAAAAGTTAAAACAAATAAGAATGACAAAAAGAAGAAGAGGCTAGCTCTCTTACGGTCTGAACTCTGACCTTAGCTGTAGTGTTTAAAGATATATGACTTGGGGGGTTCTTTCCATGGCAAAAGCATAAGCTGGTCCATTCCATACTTTCAATTTTTCCTTTTGTCTCTACTCTTAAAGAATAAGTTGTTTTATACATTTTATTATGTATATGAGTGTGTATCAAAGGTTTTAAACCTCAAAAGCTTTGACTTGAAAAGCTCTTTTCTTTCGTCAAGTTCAAAATTTTACACCTCTTTCACTTTATACTTTAAAGAACCAAACCGTACTCGCTTTGCCCTTTTTTGGTTTTCTTCTTTGTTAAACACTTTGTTTTATAACTTTAACAAGCGATATATTTTACTTTTTAATTAGTTAATTCATTAGCCTAACTTTGTCTCATACTTTTTTTTAATGCTTCCCAACTTTGTTTTTATGTATTTTCGATTCGATCTTAAGCTTCTAACTTTGTCCTGGAATGGTATTGCTACTCTCAATGCAGCAAAACTATGATTATGATTTATGAAACCAACAAACCAAAATCATTTATACTTGGCTGTAGTTAAACTCATTAATCGTTTGTGACGAAAAGGAAGACTATACAATAGTTATTTTCTTTGGTTTTGACTATACAAAAGTTTTCTAAGGTTAGCATTGAGCTATGCCGACTAAAGTGCTTTTACAGTTAGACCTAAATATGACTTTATAGAATAGTACAAAAGTTATTATGCCCACTCATACGTTAGTAACTACATCCACGAAATTTTCATGGATTGTGTGTATGTATGCATCATAACATTGTATTGTTTATTAGAAGTTGAACGAACTTTTATGTTTTTTTTTTGGCCTATAAAAATTAGGTGATTATGAATATACTTTAACAACATAAAAAGAGCTTGAAGATATAATTCAATATTAGCTCTTATCTTAACAAAAATGTGCTTCATAAAATAAAATAAAATAAAATAAAAAACCACTAATGTAAATGCTTTCCACGACTAATTATCATTATATGTACATAAGAAAAACATTGACATTGTGTAGTCATTGGCTTAATCGTTCCTTTTTTATTGTCTTTTCTCTGTATATTAAGTTATTAACTATGAATATGAATGTGTGTATATAAGAGTAACAAAGTTTACACTGAAATGAAGCTACGAAATTAGTGTAGTGTAGGATAAGCCCATAGTCCGGGAACGGCTTCATCATCTGATTCACTTTCATCAGACGAACTTGCTACCCCCAGTAAATAGTTCACAACCTGTAAAGAAAAAAACCCCATCAAAAACAGATAGATAACTTGCTCAAAAAGTAACAAACTAAGTGACAAAGCCGTGAAAAAACATTTATTGAAAGAGGAAAAGCTCTTACCTGGTGAGTTGATATAAGGTCGACCGACTTGTTGCCTGATTTCAACCGACATTGTTTGTTCGGACATCTCAAGTTGTCGTGCCAAACAATAGAATCACAGTAGTTGCAGTATCCTCGGCCAGATCTTAACGCCTTGGATGAATTAGCCGCTGCAAGTGTATACTTTAGAATTTACATAGAGTAAAGCGTGGTTTCTGAAAAAGAGAATGATAAAACCGTGGACAAAAAGCCTAACCGAAATATGCTTTCTTGAAGGCTTCTCTCCAATCAATACCGGATTGAATACGAATCACGCGTTTGTGATAGAAGTGAACTTCAAATAGTGATCGCCACAGAGAGTCATCATGCGTAGCTTGGTTCCATGAGCTACAAACAGACAAAGCAAAACAGATGTAGACATAGAAGGAGAAAGAAGAAGCAAATGACTCTGCAATGCGGAAATATAGAGAGAACTACCGAGACACTTGGGCTGAGGAAAGTAAGGACGATACATCGAGGAAACTGAAGATATGAATAAGGATATCTTGTGGAAGTGAAGGTATATCTGAAAGAAAAAAGGATTTGCACGTGGTGAAGAATTATTTCAGGATATTAAAGAAGAGATTTCAAGAAAGATAACATATAAAAACCTACCAATATCTTCCTCATGGCTCTTACTGCGTCTGGTGAGTGCTACTTTTGCCTGCTTGAATTCTACAATAGCTAAGTTCTTCTTCTGTTTGGGCAGCACGGCTTCCACGCTCTTCAAGAGAATGTTAGCAGCTGAAACAGCAGCTGATGTGTTTATGCTAAATGAAAACCAAAAATACAGAATCTGAAACTGTTAGTGTTACAGACATTTAGAAGAAGGAAGCAAAAAATTGCAGGAACAAAGAGACATATACACAATATGGCTTATGTACTCTTGAGCAGCCACACTGTCAAAGTAAGGGTTGGATTGTTCCAATGGAAAAAATTTGTCTTTACTTAAACCCTCACACTTATATTCAAGGAACAGAACAATCTAATACAAGATGTTTTGCTAATTGACAAGCTAAATGCAATAAGCAAACGATAAGAATCAGCGATTCTCATCATCTATTGGCATCGAACAAAGCCCTTAGAAGAACCAATCCATCAACTAGTCTTAGTTCTCTGCTTCATGGTTGGCGATACTCTACTAAAGTTCCCACCTTTGGTATGACTTTGGGACTATTCATCAACAGATACAACATTGAATTATCCAAATGTTTTGTGTTTATATTCAAGATAGACAAACGTTTTCCAAGTTGTTTGCAAATTGTATATGCAAACACAAAGAATCAAAGCTAATTTTGATCGGCACGAAGAAGTAAAGCCATTCAAAGATCAAATCACATTCAATCCGATAAAGTTCCCAACTTTATTGATTTTTTTCGATTCTACCAACCCTAAGAATGAATTCAGCTAGAATGAACAAAAATATCTCAATACAGAACAATCCTAAGTTAATCGCATCATAGAACCCTAAAGACTCGAAATTTGAGATGAAGTTGGTAACTTACTCAGGAAGAAGACGAAAAGCGGAGAGGGTATCTTGAAAGATCAAAGCTTTGACATTTTTGGGTAATTGAGAGTAAGCAAGATTCAAAACGGAGCTGAGTTCATTGCAAACAAATGGGTATAGATGATTTTTGGAGAGAGCTTCTCCTACCATTAGATTTTGGTATCTCTTCATTTTTCTTCTTCTTCTGGGTTCACACAATCATATGATCATCATCGTCTTGCTCTCTTTTCATTGTATCGGTTTGTGTAAATTCTTATTTTATACTTCCAAATCAAACTGGAACCGGTACAGATTTTGTTTTGGTATAGTTTTGGTTTTCAATTTGTTTTTTTTGGGGTCAATTTGGTTTTTCTCATTCTAGTTGTAGTTATAAATTTGTAATATACTGTATGAAATTTCTATGTAACAGAATTGTGTCTAATCTTCTGTCTTCTGCATCTAAACTATTTATTATTTATATAAAAAATCATGCAAATATTTATATAAATATGTTTACTACATATAACTACACATTCACAATGACATAAATATGAGCATATAAGAGAAAATCACAGTTTTGAGGAAAATTCTAAGAACCAAAAAAAGGAAGAGAATAAGATGAACCTAAAAAGTTATCTAAAAATGGAATGGCTTAACAAATAATTGAAGACTCTTTGTGATGTTGCCGGATGATCTTTTTTGTAATTTGTTATATATATATATCTTGTGTATCAAGAAACATGATACATTCACATTTGTAGGTTTTTGCAGTTTTCAGAGGAAGTAAGTGAGTTGTTCTTTTTTCCTTGAGCCTCCTTCTCCATACAAATCATTCCATTGCTTCAGCTCATTCATTCCTGCTCCTTCTGATGAAAAACTCGCAGCTACCTGTACACACACAACAACAGAATCTAGTTAGTTTTCAATTTCTTGTCTTTTCTTTCCAAAATGAGATAAGATGTTAGACCTGGTTTTTAGCTTTTCTCATGTCTTCCATGTTCAAAGGTCTCAATGTAATAACTCTCTCCTCAGAAGCTTCTGCTTCTGCTTCTGCGTCTTCTTCTTCTTTTTCTTTTGGTTCTTCCGTGCTTTTTCCTGCTTCTTCTTTCTTCTTCCTCTCCTAAACCAACAAGAGATTTCAATATCCGTAGAGGATTTGATCCATAAAGAATGGACGAGAGGCTCCTTTAGTTTTTCTTACCTGATCTTTTAATCTTTCTTGCTGAATCAGCTCTCTAACCGGTCTATAAGCAGCTGTGATACATAAGTTCTGTTCATACAAAAGTTTAACAAACAGTTAGTTTCCACTAATTTTTACAAAACATGTATTCTGGTTCTGGTTAGAGATGATAAGAACCTTAAGATCACTTCCACTGTAGCCTTCTGTCATCTGTCCAAGCTCATGGAAATCGAGATTCTCTGTTTTCTCTTTTGACAACAAAGTTCTTAAGATCTTCTCCCTGCTCTCAATTGAAGGAAGTCCCACCATTATTCTGTTTGTTTACAAGACAACACAAAAAATCAGTCACGTTATATTGAATAAGATTGATTAGAGATTTTGCAGTTTCAAAATTTTGCTTAGTACCTCCGCTCAAACCTCCTAATGATAGCTTCATCAAGATCAAACGGTCTGTTTGTCGCTGCAAGAACGAGGATCCTTTCACCGGGTTTCGTCATTAGCCCATCCCAATGCGTCATAAACTCATTCTTAATTTTCCTCATAGCTTCATGTTCTCCAACTCTTGTCCTTTGTCCCAACATACTATCAACTTCATCCACAAATATAATCGTTGGAGATACTTTAGCTGCTAAAGTAAACAGAGCTCTCACGTTTTTCTCATCTTCTCCAAACCATTTAGAAGTGATTGTAGACATGGAGACATTGATGAAACTAGCTCCAGCTTCATTTGCAATTGCTTTTGCAAGCATTGTTTTGCCAGTACCAGGTGGACCGAATAGTAGGATTCCTCTACATGGCTTGAGAAGACCGCCTTGAAAGAGATCTGGTCTTCGAAGTGGAAGCATTACAAGTTCTTGAAGTGAATCTTTTGTTTCGTCTAGAGAACCAATATCTGCAAATGTCACACCAATCTCATCTGCTGGTATAACTTCTGGTCTTATACGCTTTTCAAACTCATTATCAGGAACAACCTCAGGCGCTTTTGGAGGCAATGGATTGTCATTCTTGTTTGAAGGAAGCGATTTTTCTGACTCGTTTTTGTTTTCAGGACCAGATTTCGACTCGCTCTTTGAACACACTTCTCCTTCTTTTCGCTTAGAGTCGGTGTTTGTGTCGAGCTTCAAGGAGTCTTCGAATGATCTGTTTCCGCCTTCTTGGAATATACTCAGTCCATGAGACAAACTATTGCAAGTTCACAAATCAGTTAACTACTTGAAAAATTCAGTTAGTACCTGTGAATGAATAAACAGATTCTTATACTCACCTTTTGGAAGATATTACAAGCTTTCCGTTTCTGTATTCCGGTTCTTTGGTGTGTATCAAATGATAAGAAATTGCAGAAACCACAATTTCTTCAATGTGGTTACTCAAACACATTGTATCCGCGTGGCATATCGAAGCTAAGTCATCGCATTGGATATCATTAGCAGCAAGAACTTCTGCAATGTGGTTCTTGTTGTCCTGAAACTGAATCATTTTCATGTCATCTTCTAACCGAGATTTCCAGCTCATGAGCTGAGATTCATCCTCTGGTGGTCTGATTTCGATGTTGTAAGGAAACAGAGCGGAAACCCCTTCACCTACTTCTTGGCTATCATCTTCCGCTTCTAATACTCTTGAGCCAAGAATTAAGACAGGACCAGAGAGCTTGTTCAAGAGCCGCTGGAACAAGTTGTAGAATCTTTCTGACTCAAGAAGCTTCTCAACATCTCTGAGGTATATTACTAGTGGACTTGTTTCCGATACAGAAACCACGACCTGCAGAGAAAGACGACTATTGTGACAAATCTATTTGAAGAACAATTTAGCAGATTTGTGTATAGTTATTTTTTTGGTACCTTGTAAAGCGACTGCAAGAAAAGTTTCTCGTCAAAACATAGATTTGTACTGCGTCTGCTTGAAGCTAAAATCCATTAAACACACATATATTAACAAATTAAGAGTCTGAAGTTATATATAATGTATAAAGAAGATCTAGTAATCAGTTTCTAAACCTGAAACAGAACTTGACGAGCGGGAAGATATGCTACTTATGTCAGAAGCAGCAGAAGCATTCCTTTTGTGTCTTGGAGGACGACTAGAGCTCTCCATACTCCTGAATTTAAAGGACCTAGTAAGCTCAGAGAGACAAAATACCGATAAAACTAACTTCGAGGAAAACAAAGGCAAACCTTGATTTAAGATCATTTCCACTGATGGGTCGACGCAATGACCCTGCATTTTACAAGAATGCTAACTCTTTAGCTCATGCTTATGAAGGAAGAAAGTAAGGTAAGAGTTTTGTGTTGTTTTTTAACCTCTTGGTTCAACTTCACGTTGAGAAAGCATAGAGAAGGAACCCATCAAACTCGACATTTTGTCCAATGTAAACTCAGAAATAGACCTCTTGTGAAACTATAAACCAATAAAGAGAAGAAAACAGAATCATTACTCTGAACCCATCAGAATAAAGAAAATAAAAAACGCAGGACAAGTAAGAACTTACAGGTTCTTTCTTGGTGCATCCATATTTACTCTGTATCTGTTTCCAAACAATAGAATGGAGAGAAAGGCTTAAGAGCTATTCTGTTTAACTATGGGGAAAATATCAAACATGCATTGATTGATTTACCTTAATAGAGAAGTCAGTTATATCTAAGAGCAATAGCTTTGATTCAAAGTAATGAGACAAAGCTTTAGCAAGCATTTGCTGATAGAATTCTGCAGGACCGGAAAGTAGAAGGGCTTTACTCGCAGGTGCAAGATTCCGAGTGTGCTTCGATATATCATACTCTTTCAGATGAACATAAGCTGCACTTGTCAGTAATACTCTAGTTCTCTTGCTGCCATTAAACAATGAACAATCAAGATTCAGTAACAAATGTAGTTTTACAATTGAGAATTTGTAATTCAGTAATTGAACTGATCAGTAACACTGTTGTATTCAACCTCATCACATTACTAGAAATGCAAGAATTTTTGCGAAAGCAATCTAACATAGTACAGACTGGATTCAATAGTATCCAAGAAACAGTGAAGCAGAAACAAAACAATGGATTAACAAAATTAGTAGAATCACATGTGAGAATCTTTCTATTTCTCTTTCTCTCTGTCTTGACTCCATTTGCCAAATCATCCACATGCTTATTGTGCAACTAACCTACCCCACTTCCCATCATTCTCTTTCATTAGACCATCCTCAATGGTAGGATGTTAGGTGTATCTTAGATGAATTAGGGATTTAATTTAAATCAAAATGGTAATTAAAATCTAAGATATGGTATCTTATATAAGATACACAACAATGTTTAAGATACGGTGACGTGGCAGTTTTTGAGTGGATGTTGAAATAAATATTTGGGATAATGAAAAAATTAGAAATATTATGCGAGCTTGTATAATATTTTTACAATATCATTGTAGAAAACGAACGAGATACGTATACACAGTTTGATATCAATGATTTGTACTGACAGAATCTTATGGAAATACACGAATGGATTTCACATTTTACAAATATGCATTCAAATCTTATTGATATAATAGCCATTAGAACTCGAATTTGTGATCGAGCTAT